GTGCAGTGGCAAGGGGTTATGGAAGTCCCCAGAAGTGCCTGATCTGCTCAGATGTGTGGATGGGGGCCAGGTTCAGGAAAAGTGTTCTAGAAATGGATTTTCAAAAGGTGAGCAAGAATTGTGTGGGGATGCCTGTAAAATTATTCCAGGCAAAGAGAACTTGCTGGGCAAAGGCAAGATAATGGAATGAAACCATGTTTTAAAAACTACAACCAGTTTAAGTGGGAGGAGGGCGTGCATGGCTGTAACTAAGGCAGTTACAGTGAAGGGCCTTCTGTGCATACTGCACTCAGCATCACGCACTAACCAACTGAGCTAACCAGCCGCCCCTGCAATCAGTCACTTTTTAAAAAGTCATATGTATTTAAACAACAATAACAACAAATCAATAACAATGAGCCTGAATCTCTGATTCTTCCCCCAGATACATGACTATCTGGCAGGTTCCCACTAAAAACCACTCCCTTTTATTTTCTTTTAAACAAACAGAAAATTTGTCTTAGAATTGAAATGAATGTTTAAAAAACAAACCTGATCTGCTTTCAATACCAAACTCTGTTTAAATAACACGGAGGTTGTGACATCCGTTGACAAAGCCAGGAAGCTCAAAACCCTGCTGCCGACACAATGTATTGAGTTCTGCTGTTGTTGGCACGGCTCCACCTGTGGCAGGCAGGTCCTGGTGTTGTTATTCTGATCTGCGTGTGCAAGGAGACATTCCTCAGGGCACAGGACTCTTTCTTCTTGGGGGAAAAAATTGTATTTTTAAAAATGCTTTCTGACGAGACAACATAAATTGGTAACTACAATATTGCCTCAGGGATAGGAAAGACAGTCTGGGGAATATAATCAATAATGTTATAAATATTTTTTAGGGGGCCAGATGGACTCATGTCTTGTTAGGGAGACCACTTCATAGATGGTGTAGAGGCCTGACCACTGCACTGTACAACTGAAGCTGCCGTTGAATAATACTGTATGTCAGCTATAATTTAATATACATATATAGTCACGGGATGTGGAGTACAGTGTGGGGAGTGGAGTCAATGGAATTGTAATAGATATGTATGATATCGGGGGGGGCAGTAGATAGGGGTAGGGGGGTTGTCACTTTGTGAGGGGTGAAAAGGATAACTATTGCTTTGTTCTGTACACCTAAAACTAATAATAAAAATAAAATAAAATAAATGCTCTCTGTAAGCAAGAACAATTGGTAGCTACTTCTGTGTCTCTTGAGTGTCAAGTTCCAAGAGTAAATTAGTCTTTTTCATGAGCAGATTTTAGCCACTTTGAGGTTTCAAAAAAAAGTTTACACTTTTACTGACATCCATCTCCAGAACTTCTTCATCATCCCAAACTGAAACTCTGCACCCATTAAACACTGACTCCCCATTTCCCATTCCCCCCAGGCCCTGGTAACCTCTATTCTACTGTCTCTGAATTTCACTACTCTCGGTACTTCAGAGAGGTGGAATGATACAGTATTTGTCCTTGTGTGTCTGGCTTATTTCGCTTAGCATAATGTCTTCAAGGTTCAATCATGCTGTACCATATTGCAGAATTTCCATCCTTTTTAGGGCTGAATAATATTCCATTGTATGTATACACCATGTTTTGCTTGTACATTCATCCATCAGGGGATACTTGTGTTGCTTCCAAATTTTGGCTATTATGAATAATGCTTCCATGAACGTGGGTTTGCAAATATCTGTTTGAGTCCCTGCTTTCAGTCAATTATTTTTTCAAAAAAGCTGGATGGAGCTTGTGTAAGCCCTTCTTGAGTTTCTGGCTGTGAGCGAAGCCTGGCCTGGAAGTCAGGGCTTTAGTTCTACAGCTCCCTGCCAGGAAGTAGCCAGGCCCCTGGAGTAAGTCACACATCATCTCTGTGTCACTGTTTCCTCACCTCCGAGCTTACAGAGTCCCTTCCACCTTCCAGTCCCACCCCTAGGTGACTATGCATGCGACATTCTGTACCCAGACTCATAGTCAGCCCCTCTTAGCTTCTGTTTGTTCCTTAGTGGAATTAGAAGTAGAGTGGGCTCTTGGCATGAGCAGATTTACTATTCACAATTTGGAGTGTTCTTGAGTGGCCGTGGCAACCCATGACATATAGAAATCTATCAGTTTGCTGAAGCATGAATTTGAACCTCATACATGGTGAGGCGGATGTATGAGTGTAAGTCACTAAGTGAGTAAGTCGGGCTGACAACTGCGCAGTGCCACCTGCTCCTCAGCAAGGTGTTGTCAGCTGCTACATGTCCTTATGCAGCGAGTTTTCTGAAGTGGTACAGCTTTGGTGAGAGTGGGGGGGGGGCGCGGTGCAGGGGGGGAGAATATGTCTCCAAAAAGATAGCTGACTGCTAGGACTAGTGGTAGAAATAAAAGAAAGAACAGAAGCCTAAGAAACTGAGGGTTCTTACTGAAATAGATTAAAAAGTGGCCCATCTAACACAGTAGCTTGACAGTGCAAACAAGCATACTGTACATTCTCTACAGAAAAAAGACAAACGTACTGGTAAAATTTCAGTGAGACAGCCAGCAGAACATTTGTTCACTGAAAGATAAAAATTTAGAGAAGTTTGAAAAAGTGGCTCGGGAGAAAAGCAGGAGACTATACAAACATTTCCAGGAAGCAGCAGATGGGAAAGGCACCAGCGTGGCTACTAAACCAACCTTATTTTCAACTAAAGACTGGCTTGAACATTTTAAGATGTGTTTTTCTTGGCAAAAGGTGCAGTTAATAGGAACAAGCAGGCCAGCTGTCTATCTCACAGCAGACAAGATTTTTCCTAAGCTAAAGAAACTCACAGATGAACAGAGGCATAAGTCCTAGGCTGTGACGATTGCCGGGCATGTGGGAGCTGTCAGCGTCACAGTTTAGACTGAAAGTCATATGAAAGAGGCAATAGAGAGTAAGGAGAGAAACCAAACAAAGAAGGTTGTGAATATATATGTGAATCAAATCATCACACTATACACTTTAAATATATACAGTTATATTTGTCAGGTATTCCTCAATAAAGTTGTGGTGGGGGGAGGAGAGGAAAAAAAGAGCTGGTAAAAAGGAGTAAAGGAGATGAAGGCAATGGTGAAGAATTGGGAAAGCCTACAGAGATTTAATGAAGTGTTCCAAGCTGCCAACAGCACTAACATCCTGCAGTTGAATGGAGCTTTTTCCGCAATTCCAAGAAACACATCTTCATTGGTACCATCCCAGGAAATGCTCAAGACATTACAAAAGTAAAGAGGGATTAACAAGAGTAACTTTGGTTAAGACTAAGGAAGGAGGGAAAAAAAGGAAGAGAAAATGACAATGAAAGTAAGAATAAAAGGGAAGGTGATAAAAACGAGGACAAATGAGATAAAATACTATTTCTCCAAAAAGCTAAACGTAATAAGTTGGAAAACTCAGATGAAATACATGTTTGCAAAAACTGAAAATGGCAGACTGGAATTAAAGAGAAAGAGAAGGTTGATTAAGAACAGTGGCCGTTAAAGATCACGTTAAAGACAACTAGACGCTTTTACAGTAAAGATCACCTTTGCCTTTTACAGGAAAATAGGAAAGCTGATGGACTAACTTATGTGGTTTTTTTCCAAAACCAGACAATTGTATTGCAAGATAATAAAATTTTAGCCCCACATGATTTATATCATAGGTGCAAAAGTTCTAAATAAAACAAAAAGGGGGTGGGGTGGAAGAATGGCAATTCATAATATCATGTTCTTTATTATAAACCCCCCCACTCAACACTTTGAATAATTCCTTTCCCCTTGCCCTTTGGGTTCTGTTTTGCAATTGTCTCTCTCACCCTATTGCCACTTCTTTTTTGTTCCTGAAGACAACACGTTTTTTTGTTGTCAAGGTTTTTGGCAGCAAATCAATAAAGGGAAGCAAACAGAAGTGACCCCCCAAATGGGTAGACTGCAAAGGTTCCAAAATCTCACAAAGTATGTATGCGGGTTTCTGGTTTACATTTCCAGACTTTTTTCAGATGGTAAATGAATTACGATAAGACCCATGAAATGTACTCCTTCCTTCTTACTATCTGCTCGCTTGGAGATCTGAAGAGGCGTCTAAGACGGCAGGTGAAGTCCCCTTCAGTGAGATGGTAGTTGACATTTCCAAGGGCATCCAACCCAAGCGACCCATCCCAGTACAGCATGCTTCTTCTCCTTGCAAGAAAGCAAGTCCAAAGGGTGACCCTCCCAGTGGAAGCTGTTTGGCATTCCAGAATGCAGAATACTGGGGGGAAAACATCTTTTCCTAAGCAGACAGTCCAAGTGTTGACAAAGTTGGGCCTATGGTTCACGCACACTCTTTGTGCCAACTATTTAAAGGCACCGCAGGAGTCTGAGCCCCGTTACTGCCATTCCTAAGAAACTTTCCTGTAATTTCTGGCTGATGTGGCAGTGACCTGTTCCCTCTCCTTTGGCTTCTAGATATTTGCAAATAATTAATTAATGATTTAATTGCTCCCTTCCCCAGGAAGCACCTGGTTTCTTAGAATGTGTGACATGGGCCAGAAAGACAGGGCATGAGGATGGAGGGGTGGGGGGATAGTGCTATAGGCAAAGGCAGGTTGACAGATAGATTTTATCTGGAGGCTCCAGGAATAGGTTAATGAGCACCACTGACCTTGGGGATGAATTCTGCACAGCTGAGACAAGATGGAAATGAGTGTTCTTCCTGCACCCCTGCTCTGGAGAGATGCTGGCTCTGTGCCTCCCTTGAAAGAGTTTGAAAATGAAATGCTTCTTTGAAGATTCCCACCTCCAAAATAAACTAGGAGTTAGCATTTTCCACACCAAACGCTTTGCTCAGAGACAGCCCTAAGTCCTGGCGGCTGGGAAGTGTGTGAGGAAAAGGGCATGAAGTGGAAAGAAACGTTCATGTCGGAGATCTGAATTCGCGTGACCTAAGCTTGTGAAAAGTGGCTTTGGAGAAGGTTACTGAAATCCTACCACTCTGATAACCTTTGTTGGAATTATTTCGGCAGGTGATCACAGCTGGGTTATCAATATTGCTGTTTGATATGATCCTGACGAGTGCAACTGTGGGATGGTAAGTCTTTATGTGCATCGAGAGAGGAAATGAAAATTCGTTGTTTGGGTTTCATGAGGATACTAATTTTTGCTCTCAAATGTTGACAAAAGGGTGTGTGTGTTGGGTATATATTTTATTGACATTTAAATATACATTCTGCACAGTGCATATATCATGAATATATAACTTGATGAATATTCACGAGTTGAATATAACTATACCTACTAGCGCCAGCAACCAGATCAGGAAATAGGACATTCCCAGTACTCCTTCCAGCCACTCATCCACACAAGAGTAACCACTATTGCAGAACAGCTATTTTATAGATACAGCTGTGTTTGGGTTTTGTTTCTTTGATCCTTCAATTTATTTTCTCTTACACAAGCTTAAAATCATCCTTGTTTAGAATGCACCCACCCGGTCACTTAAAGACAGCACTGCCTCTCCCTGTGATATTTGAGCAGAGACCTAAAGAGTGAGGATTGAGTCATGGGCTTATTGGAGGAAAGAGCAAGTGTAAAGGTCTTGAGGTGGGAGTGTGCTTGTGTTTGAGGAGGGATGTGACCAGAGCAGTGTGATGAGGAGAAGAGCAGGAGATGAGGAAAGAGAGGTAGTTGGCATCCGACCATGTGGGGTTTTAAAGGCCATTGTAGGACTTGGCTTTGGTGTGAGGAGAGGGAAAGTGAAGAGGATTTTGAGCCACATTTTGAGCCTCTGTTTAAAATTCATCCCTCTGTCTGCTGTGTGGAGGATATGCTGTAGAGGGGACAGGTAGGAAGCAGGAAGACCAAATAGGGATGGTGGCAATGATCTCGGTGCAACATGGCTAAGACTGGCCTGACAGCAATGGAAACAGTAAGAAGTGGTAGGCTGCCTGCAGTGTGCTGATGGCATAGGATTTGAGAGAAAGAAAGAGCCTAGAATGACTTCTAGATTTTTGGTTTGAGCTGTGGAAAGAATGCAGTTGCCCTTCACCAAGATGGGGAATAATATATGAAGAGCAGTGTTCTAGAAGGTAAGCGTAGAGGGTTATCTGGAGCTGTGTTGGATCTATGAAGGCTGAGGTGCCCGTTACACCTGAGAGTCGAGATATCAGTATGTAGGTGACTAAATCGGCCTGGAGGTCAGAGGAGGGGAGAGCCTCTCAGCGCCTTGAGCATGGCATCCACATTCCCACCTTAGAGGTTTTTGGGCTCATCCACTCGTCCTGGAGTGCTTTCCACCCAGTTTTGCAGTTGGCCACTGACTGTTCATCCTCCAGGTCTCCACATCCAGGTGACCTCAGAAAGGCCTTCCCTGATCACACTCTATTACATAAACTGCCCTAGCTGCTTCCCGTCGCCTTGCTTCTTTCCCTCCTGATGGCGCCCACAGTCGTTACCTTGCTTGTTCATCGTTCTGCTTGTTAGGGTCTGCCTCTCTCCTAGAGGGTAGTGCCCCCTGCAAGGCACATGGGCGCCATGGTGGATGCAGGAGAGAGCTGGGGAAGGGTGTGAAGCAGTCGGTGATGTGAGCACATGGCCACTTGAGAAGGATGGCCGAGGCAGCCACGTGAGACAATGGCTGTGGAGCGGCTATCCAGGAGATAGATGTGGTGGCTGTGACAGTAACTTCAGGTCACACCTCCTGGAAAAGGCCACACAGCCCTGCACCATAGGCCTCAGAGCTGTGGTCACAAGGGGATTTGGCCGACTGGTAACAAGGTTAGATGGAGGCTGCTTGAATGCGTCACTGCCGTAGCACGACAGCCCAACTGGGGCACCTCAGCTTGTCCTTCACAAACAGGCCGCTGAGCTCTCTGTCTGTGACACAGGAAACAGGTACTTTGGGCTTGTTGGGGCCCCTGTACCTGCTGTGGTTCTGCTCGAGGGCCAGGTGGTCACAGTCACGCTGGAAACATAATGAAACCATCTCTTGCGTTCCACCTCTGAATGCTCTGCGTAGACTCTGCCCATTGAAGAGCTGACCAAGTTAACACTTGGATCTCCTCCAGATAACTGTATGCAAACCAGGGGAGGCCATCGTTACCAAGGGTTTGGGCTGTCATTTGCAGGGGAGAGGGAGGTGATTTTAAAGTCTTAAAATAGCTCATGGTTCCCTTCTCAATGGGCGTGCTTCATTTGGGGATTATATACTTACATATTTTTAAACTACATAGTAATACATTCTATTTGTGAGATGTTTAAAACAATACAGAAATGCATCAAGTAAAAGGCCTTTTATCTTCCACTCCCACTATTGCCACCTGCCAGAAGTCATAACAATTTTGGTTTAATGGTGAGAAAAATGCAGTGTTTGGTTCAGTAATGTATATATGCCAGTGAGGTGGGTACAGACAAGGTGTAGAAGAGATTTTCACATTTATTTACCAGCATTAGGGAGAGAAAAATCATATTGTTGCTTAGCTTTACTCAAATAAGGCATAGTTCTAGAAAATCAGTATTTTTTTCTCATGCTTGGGATCAGAGCAATCCTGTGAGTTCGGTTTTTTTGTTTGTTTGTTTGTAAATTGGTTGGTGAGGGCTAGGACTGATGCCTGGGAGTGCCCCTGGCAGCCTCCCGTCTCCCAGGACTTCTTGTGAGTAATCCCTTGATGCTGTCATAGCCGCAGATGCAGTGGTATTTTTTTTTAAGATTTTTATTGGGGTATTGGGGGGATGGGAACAGTGCTGGGGAATTGGGGAAAGGGGAACACACAAGTTGCTGTTGTTTTGTTCTTCAGTCTAGTTGTGGAGGACATTGCTTCACTGGCCCAAGCTGGCACCATCATTGTGCTCTTCCCGGGCGAGGCAGATCAGCCGCCGGCTTCTGGACGGCCGCTCACTGAGGCTGCTGGTCGCTCACGCTGGCTGCTGGCTACACAAGGTAGCCCGTGGCAACCCACTGCCACAGGGGCTGCAGCCTAGGCCGTCCTCGTCAACTCACGGCAGCCCAGCTCCAGATTGAGCTGTTGTTCAGCATCTTAGCTATAGAGGGCAGTGTCACTGGCCCTCATATGTGGGATCCGAACCGGGGCCCTCTGGCATCCCAAGCCAGTTCTTAACCATCACACCACTTGGCCGGCCCAGTGGTATTATTTTTAAATGTCAGTAGATTCCTGCAGGATAAATGTGAGGGGCAGGACCAGAATCTGTGAATATCATGATGAGGAAGTGACTTTGCATCCCATGTCGTGTTGGGCTGGCAGGGGTTTATACAATAAATAGATATTTACCACGGGCCTAATATGTGCCAGGATCCATTCTTGGATAAAAGTGGAAAATCGCTGCCCCTCTGATGTCTACAGTTGCTCATCTCCTTACATGAAGGCAGGTCCATATCTAAACCATCCCAGACTGACAGAAATAAATCTTTTTGCTCACAGCATTCAGAATTAGGGGCTCCCTTTCTTGGGAGCCCCTAATTGGGGGCATTTCCAGCCCCAAGAAGAGAAAATGGAAGAAAAATAAAAATTAGGAAGTACTCCCACATCCTCTTCTTCTTCCTCTTCTTGGCCTTTCCTCCTCTTCCTTTTAATAATAATAACTATTTATTGAGCAACTACTATGTTTCAGACATTTTTTACATTAATATTATCCCATCGAGTTTCACAACTTTTCAAGTTATCCCCATTTTAAAGATGAAGACACTGAGGTCCAAAGACATTTAAATGATTTTACCCAAGATTTTAGAGCTACTAAGTGACTGGACCAGGATTGAAACCCAGGTCTGTGTGTGTCCAAGGCCCCATACCCTGCCATGTATCTCCCTGGAACTGATTCGGGAAACACCAAGGATTTACCAGCAGTGTAGATGGCGCCTAGGTAGAAGTGGGTCTTAAGGGAGGGAGAAGAAAAATTGGCCTAAATGTTCCTCCTCCCACCAGTGTGATCATCTATAAAGAGCATCTAGTTGGCGCGACAGCAAACAGAAGGAGTGTCACCCAGCACAAGACGGCCCTATTTTGGGTTTACCAGCAGTGTAGATGGCGCCTAGGTAGAAGTGGGTCTTAAGGGAGGGAGAAGAAAAATTGGCCTAAATGTTCCTCCTCCCACCAGTGTGATCATCTATAAAGAGCATCTAGATGGCGCGACAGCAAACAGAAGGAATGTCACCCAGCACAAGACGGCCCTATTTCTTGTTCAGGGGCCGACATGGTGAACTAAGGAGCCCAATGGAGCATTTTTACAAGACAGATCTCATTGCCTTTGAATTTTACTGCTATAAGTTATAATTCTACCAGTCAGCTAAAAATATTTATTGAGTGACTGCTGTATGCAAAATATATGGAAGTCATTACGAGGCATGAGCCATCATCCAGCCCTCAAGCAGTTTTCAGGGGAAGGGAAGTCATACAGATACTTTGTGGCCTGGTATAGTAATTGTTTGAATGCACAATGAATGTGAAGGCTGAAGGCGAGAGAGGGGGTGGGGTGATCAGGAAGGCCTTGGAACTGTCTTGAAACTGGACCTTGTGCAGAAGGGAGAGGCTTAGCTAGGCTGTGGGGGGAAGAGATTTGAACTTTCTTGCCCCAAGAAGACAAGGAAGGGTGGAGGGGCAGGGGGTGAGATGGCGATTTGTGAGCAGAGCTGGGGCTGAGGAGCAGGGAGCTAATCCTACGCTTCCTCCTTCTTTCTCTACCTGTCTCTGTGGACAGGCGTGACAGAAATGGTGGGCAGGTTGGCATCGAAAAACCCAATTGCCAAGGTATCCTAGTACATTATTGACACTATTCCCCAGATTTCGGTGTCTTAACCCTCACAGTGATAGTCTAAATTCTTCCAAATAAACCTGCATCAACAGAAGGCTTATTTTGTTCAGAAATACAAAATTCTGTATTTTGTACAGAATTTCAGAGTGAACTAAAAAAAACCAAGGTGTTGAACTGAGTGTGAGAAATGAACGTGAGATGGCCCTCCATGGGAGGAATGCTGTCTGAATATTACAGCAGAAGTCTAGAAGAGGCCAGGTCTCCAGGCCGTTTCACACCCTGTGAACTTTATGGTATGCCCTGGACAAAATAGAGAGAAAGGCTGTG